ACTTGAGGGAATCTTCGCACACGTTGATGCCATTGTTGGGGCTGATTTGTGAATGGACAGTTTTCTATTTTACCTTTTTTTTTATCGTTCTGTTGTATTTAGTGCAGCATCTTGCCGCATCTCCACGCTGGTCCTCGGGGAATGAGGTGCGTGAGGTGCGATAATCCTGGCTATTTGATTTCGCTTTTTAAATTGTTGTCACTCCTCTCTCTGCTCTTAGGTAACGATACAAATGCAAATCAATATTTTTTTTTTATCCTCTAAAGGAAAAACTCGCGGCGTCTTTTCCCATTCTCCCGTTTATAATATTTATTCTTTTTCTCTGATTATCTCCTCCTCTTCTCCTCTGAGTCTGTTCTTCGGTCTTTCCCTTAAAACCCAAACGTATGGAAGTGTATGAGGACTCTAGCCGGGGTGAACAGACCTGGGAAGGATTGAAAAGAAACAAGGAAGTGGTGGAAACGACAAAAACAGACATAAATGGAGACAGAGAAAAATAATGATTGTGCGGACACACTGATAACGGAAACAGACAAAGACTAACCCGATATATACCGACATTTCAAATTACGGACAAAGTGACGGGGCAAGGTGGACCTAGAGAGAGAGAGAGAGAGAGAGAGAGAGAGAGAGAGAGAGAGAGAGAGAGAGTGTTTGTGTTGGTTCCTCCGTGTTTCCTGTTCTGCTTTTCCCCGGGTTGTGTGTAGGGAGGGGTGAGAATCTCTGCCGTGTGCAACCCCTTATGCTTCTTTCATAACCCCCCCCCACCCCCTTCCTCCCCTCATCACCCCTCCACACGTTACTTACCTGGGCGGTGTTGTGTGCCCCTCTAGCTCGGGAATGGTAGAGTAAATAACTGACCCATTACCTTGTGTTTCTACGTCTCACCGAGTGGCACCGGACTCACCTTCCCGGGCTAGAGGGACCTAGAGTCGACCTGCGATGATTTGTGGGAGGAAGGAAAGAAAGAAGGTTAAAAGAGAAGGAGGGAGGGACGGGGAGAAGGAGGGAGGAAAAAGATATGAGAGAGACAGGGAAAAGGGATAAATGAGGAATATCGTAAAGAAGAGAGGAAGAGAGGGAATGAGAGAGCGTGTCATTCTAAGGTTAAAAAAATATAGTTTTGTTGAATTATTTTAAATGTGACAAATAACTGTAATGTTTTTTTAATATTTTTGTATAATAATAAAGATGAGAGTAACGTTAAGCTGTGACAATGTTTATTTTATTGATAGAGTAATAATTCCCTTGGTGATTGATGGATGGTTTGGTCAGTGTGATTGATGGACGTTTATTAATATTATTTTTATTATTATTATTTTTTAAATTTATCACGTCATCATTATCAGGTGTCATTGTATAATATTGTCGTCTGTTAAGTGATCGTCATCGTCATTATATTTTATCACGTCATTATCATTACCTCGTTAGCATTGTCTTGCAGTCATGTCATGTTCATCCTCAAATCGCCGTCTTTCTCCACACACACACACACACACACACACACACACACACACACACACACACACACACACTCACTATATCCAGGTTACCAGATTAATTACCTGTACTTCTATGCGTAACTGTGTGTGGCGGATATGCCCGTGTTGTCCGGAGTGTGTTGTGCGTGACCGGACGTGGTGGTACCAGGTGTGCACGTCGCCACGCGTGTACACGTCCCGCACGTGCACTTCCTCGCACGTACACGCCCATACACGTGCACGTACCCTCGAAAGTAATGTCTCCACTTCAGCACAACACTGTGTGTGCACGACCCTACACATACACTGTACAGTACACTTTCACACCTGCTCTCACCTGTCCTACCTGGTGTTTTACCTACACACCTGAACCCACCTGCTCAATACACCTGCCATCACTTACACACCTGAACCCACCTGCTCATTACACCTGCCATCACCTACACACCTGAACCCACCTGCTCAATACACCTGCCATCACCTACACACCTGAACCCACTTGCTCAATACACCTGCTGTCACCTACACACCTGAACCCACCTGTCTATCACACATCCCTGAAACACGTGACACAATTTAGATAACCCCGTGTGAGACGCAATATTGGAGGTGACGACTCAGGAACTGTGACGCAGCAACTGGTGTATCTTGCGTCACGACACCCGCCAAACACCGCCTCACGTGACTACCATCTATCGTTGTCATCGGGGGGAAAAATGTTATATATTTGTCCACACTTGTTATTTTACGCTCGAGTGTCGGCCAGTAGCGGCGACCAAGCTACTTCCTGTGGGCTACTTTCCTAACCCGACGGCCACTACTTCCTCGTTCTCTATTCCCCCGCAACTAGTAGGGAGGAGGAGACTAAAATGGAAAGAAGACTTGGGAGGTACAGTACAGTAAACAGGGAAGAAGTGAAGACGGAAAATTCAGAGGTTTGGGTTTCTTGGAATTGAGGAGGAGGAGGAGGAGGAAGTGGGTAGAAGGGCGATAGAAGTGGGGAGAAGGACGATAGGGGTGGGGAGGAGGACGATACGGGTGGGGAGGAGGACGATAGAAGGGTGGGGAGGGGAGGACGATAGGGGTGGGGAGGAGGACGATAAGGGTGGGGAGGAGGACGATAGGGGGGGAGGAGGATTTATAATGCATGGGGAATTTAAGGAGTAAGGGATTAAGTAAAAAGGAAAGATTAAGAGTGAGAAAGACTGGCAAAAATGGGGAATATAGACAAAAGCTTAGTTGATTGGAGAGAGAGAGAGAGAGAGAGAGAGAGAGAGAGAGAGAATTAGAACAACTGAGAGGGATTGAGAGGAAGAGGAACGAATAAGCGACGGGTAAGTTAAAGTTAAGGAAGAACGGGGAAAAAGAGGATTATGGAGTTATGGAAGGGGGTGGGGTGTTTATATTACTCTGGCTACAGTGATGGGATCCTGTTTATGGATCTCCTTCTCTGTATGATGATGGACACTACAGGAAAACATTTTATTTTTTTCATTGCAGGTGTGTGTGTGTGTGTGTGTGTGTGTGTGTGTGTGTGTGTGTGTGCGTGTGTGTAATAATGTAATAATAATAATAATAATAATTAACGGTTTATTGAAAGAGCTTGGCAGCCAGAAGGCTGAAAATATACAGTTACATATTTGGGGAATGGGTTACGAATTACAAATAATATACAAATAACATAAGTGATATAAATAAGATATATAATAACTAGATGGGGAAAAGCTCAAACTACAGGGCATTTCAACATAGTGACAGTGCAAGAAGTAGGATTTACTGGGAGTGAATACACTGGTGTATTACAAGTTATTGATAATTTTTACAATGGTTGGGACTGGGCTGTTCTTATAGCGATCAGTTCGTGCTCGTATGGGCTGGATGCGGTTGTGGTGTCGAACAGCAATTCTCGGGCTAGGGATCTCAGGTGGTAGTAGGAGCCGGTGTCGAGGATGGTGTAGAAGCTTCTTACCAAATTTGCAGATGAGGTCGTGGTGATGGTCAGTGAGAGTCGAAAGGGTCAGTGTGTTGAGCGCTTCTTGATATGTGGAGTAGGAAGGGGAGAGAATAATCTTGCATGCCCTCTTTTGCACTTTTTCTAGGTGTTTACGTTGTGTGGCATTTAGGGAGGAAGACCAGGTAGGGGAGGCATAGGTGAGCTTGGGAAGTATGAATGTTGTGTAAGGTGCAGGAACTCCGAGGGACTTGAGTCGGCGAAGGAGGTGGAGACGGAAACTGGAGGATTTGACAACTTCACTGACGTGTGGTTTCCAGTTTAGTTTGTTGTCTATGGTGACGCCGAGGAGCTTAGTGGAATCTACAACCTGGAGTGTGTTCGGACCTAAAGTAATGGAAGGAGGTGGGACAATGTCGGAGGAGCGGTTGATGTGCATAACCATGTGTGTGTGTGTGTGTGTGTGTGTGTGTGTGTGTGTCAGTCGTCGCTCATATCCCCCACTAACCTTATTCCCACACGCAGCTGGGGAGAGGCAGGGAAGGGGGGAGAGGCAGGGGAGGGGGAGAGGGGGAGCTTGTACTGTTTGGAGGGTTAATTAATGGTCATTTAATGTCCGTCTATTTGTCATAAACATAAAGGTATTCACTTAATTTCTTCAATGTATATTTATAAGTGTATATAAATTAATAAATATATTTTTTCCAGCTTAGTATAAGACAGCCATATTCATTATTCAGTTAATCTAAAATAATTATCATTATCTTTATGCATGTGTGTTATTTTTTGTGTTGTCAATAATATTACCCAGTGCTCGCCCTCACCACTAATACCCAGGCAACAGCTTTTGTTACATCACTCAACACTACTGAGTTCAGCCTTTTGCTTCACCCAGCCAGGCTAATGATGTTTGTTTTATCTCACTCATCCCAGCTGTGCATGCTTGACAGTGCATCACTCAGTCATATCAGTAACAAATACTAAGAATAATAACTAATACTTACTAATGACAGTAGGAATCTGCATACTAAAAAATGAACAATGATATATATATACAGTATGTAACCAAAACATATAATATATAATACAGTTAATGTCATGTTTAGGTGTTGTAACTGGGAAGCAGTGCAGTTAATGGCTGACAAGTGTGGTCCATGAGGGGTCATAGTGCCACTAACTGCTCTACTCTCTCTCATCACCATAAAATGGAACGAGTTTGGGCTCGTTGGGGAAATGATCAGTGCTGAACTTTTATAAGACAGGTGAGAACATCACTTGGTAATAGGTGCACAACAGTGGTGTTGCACTACAGTGGTGGTGCACTACAGTGGTGGTGCACTGCAGTGCTGCAATAAAAAGAGGTGCACTAGAGAGTGTGGTACACCACAGTGTGATGCACAAAGAGTAGTGGTGCACTACAGAGTAGCTGTGCACAAGAAAGTAGTGGTGCACAAGAGAGTAGTGGTGCACAAGAGAGTAGTGGTGCACCAGAAAGTAGTGGTGCACCAGAGAGGGATGCACCGTGTAGCCTCAGCGACACCTTAACTCTGCTATGTACCCATCGACAGGTGCAGGCAAAACGAGCGATTGCTAGTCAACAGTTCGCCGAGCGTGGCCTCTTTCTGGAAGTGAGTAGACGAGTGGGCAACACAGTACAGTACAGTACCAGCAGTAGAAGGTAGAGTTGGCTGGACCGAGGCAGACCAAGGCCTGTAGGTAACATGCTCTGGATATATTGTTATTGTTTTAACTTGACTCTTGTTATAACTTACGGATGTGTTGGCGGCTGAAAATTAAGGAAAACAAAAGACAGTCAATACGCGTCTTTACACCAAGTCTTGCCGCCAACGCATCTGAATAAACTTAATGTAATCCATCTAGAGCAAGCCATCTGCAGGCCTCTCACCATCGGTCCTCCGCCACCTCTACCTGGTGTATGCTAAGCTGCAGACAACAAGCATGTGCACGTAGACAGCTGCATTAACTCCGGCAATGCAGGCGGGTGTAGGGTATTGGCGGTGCCGCCCCCAGCAGGTACCACCAACAGTAGCTGGCCGGGGCTGTGGCTAGTACAGCATGGCAGTGGAGTAGAGGCGCCTCCTGTAGTCGTAGAGACCTTGTTTCCTGTGTAGGGACGGTGGCGGGTTCTTTACTTGTTGTAGGGGCATGTCTACTTGTGTTACTGTATTAATTATTTGTAGATAATATGTATTTATTGTTCGACCAGTACTTGGTGAGTTCCCATTGATGTGTCTTGTTCGCCACGGTTATTGGTGAATATTATTATGTAGCTTATTAAGTAATTAAGTAATTCTGTTATTTTGTAAAACACAACCTGTTACTATCCCTCATGTTCTAAGGCTCTTTAAACGTCTAAAGACTGTACCAGGATCAGATCATTCGGAATCATCACATTTCCTGGTTCGTGACAGACAACACCGGTAATATACAGAGCAGGATTCTCAGTTATCATTATCTAGTCTGTTCGTCTTACATAACGAGTGAAATGTGTGGGTGCGAGGTGGTAGCCTAGGGGCCAACAGGCTGTCTTGTGCTGTAGGCGCCCTCCTGCTGGCGTGAGCGGTGTGAAAGTCACCAGGGAATGCTGGGAAAGGTGACTGCTTTTCGCGTGAACCAGCTGAATGGTGTTGACGGGTGGCCGCCGCCCTGTCTGGTGCGTTAAGGAAGTCAGGCATGATTACATTACTACAGGACGTGGGTGTGAGTTGTCCAGTGCCCCTTGAGTAGGTTGTCGTGAGCTTCTTCTTATAAGAACGCGTCATGTAGGACAGGTAATTCTTCTTCGCCCCCCCTTCCGCATACTTTCCTTCCCATTACTTTTCTTTCCTTCCTCTCACCAAACCTCTTCTTCCCTTTTCTAATTCCCCCTCTCTACCCTACCCCCCACTCACCTTCCTACACCTCACAGCTCCAGAAGAAACTTAATGAGACAATTAGGATAGAACACAGGTACGAGGGGCATATTAGCTCCGGTTATCAATACGAATAATCACGTGTCGGCAAACCCAAACAAACTGGTGTGGAGAGGCAGTGTAGTGACCCGGAACCAGCGGTCACTAAGGGCGGAAGTCCTCAGAAGATGCACCCCCAAAACGCCTCAACCACCCAACTACCCAAATAGTTCTCATCATTAGCGTATGTTTATGTTCTTGACAGGAAATTTGAAATCTGGATATCATTTAAATCTGGAAATCGAGTACTTCCTACTGCTGAACAAAGAAGGATTCGAATCTGTTCTTCAAAGAGTTCTTCCTGGCTGCTGAAAATTTAATGTTCTTGTCCTAAACTGGTGGAACGTGAAGCCACAACACCGCTAGACGTGAAGATGGACTTGATCCCAGTCTCTGTGTGGCGGTGGTAGTGTTGAGGTGGAGGTAGCTGGGATGTGTTCCCTTCCTTCCGTCCCCTTTCCCCCTTCCTGTAGCCCCCCTTTCCTTCCCGTACCCTTCTTCTTCCTCCTCCCGTCCACCCACACTCCTCCTCCTCTTTCCTCTGTTTACTCCTTTAAATCTTCTTCACGTCCTTCCGTTCTTCCAGACTCTCTCTCTCTCTCTCTCTCCCACTGACCCTACAGCTGCTCCCTCCCTCCCCTACAACTCCTCCCTCCCCCTCCCCTGCTCCCTCCTCCTCCCTCCCCAACCTCCCTCCCCTCCTCCCTCCCACTCCCTCCCTCCCTACAACTCCCTCCTCCCTCACAACTCCCTCCCTCCCCACAACTCCTCCCCACAACTCCCTCCCTCCTCCCCCTACAACCCCTCCCTCCCTGCCCTACCCCACAACAGCCTGGCCATATATATACGAGTCTTACCAGAAATAATGAGAAAACTTCCACACAACTTGACCGTATTCTGGATGCTCGATCGTGACTCTAGGGCAACACCGTAAAAAACAACAACAACAACAACAATAACAACAACAACAACAACAACAAATATAACAACTGAATATTTGTTTTGAGTTTGTTGACATATTTGATCTAGTTCGATTTTGGGATGATTTCACTTTTTTTTTAACAACATTTTATCCTAACCACCAATGACCTTATTCATTCTTATTTACATTCTTACTTATATTATTCATTTACATTTACATAATTTACAAAGAAAATAACGTAGACATGAATTTCGGAAAAAATAAACTTTGAAATATTGTAGAAATTTACTGATACGAATAAAACGTAAAAACTTAATTCGGAAGTTTCTAGAGAATATTTTACTTCAGTTTAATATAAAACAAATGATTCTTATTGTTTACCAGTGATTATTTTTACTGGTTGACTGAAATAAATAAACAAGTAAAACAAATAAACAAATGAATCAGATAATGGTAAAAAAAAATTGAAAATGATAAAAATGATGAAAGTGTAACAAATAGTTTAAGTTGAGATTTTTAGTGAGTTATTAAATTTGGCGAAGTGTTGTGAGTTATTTAATTTGGCGAACTTATATCATATGAGTTATTAAATTTGGCGAACGTTTCCACTAAAATTCGCTAATATATTAACAGGTAAAGATTTAAATTGATAATAAAAGCGACCGTAGCCAATTACTTGTTATTTATCTAATTAAAAAAATTGGCGAATTCCAATTAATAATTATGAATTAACTGAATTAATTAATAAACAAAACAAAGATAAAAAAACACGCCCATGTAATTAGTCACAAATACTATACCTTATTTTTAATGTAATTATGAAATTTGGCGAACTTCAATTAATTAATAATTTTGGCGACCTTTAATAAATAATGATTGCTGATATTAATTATTCATGACATTACAGCAGCAATGAGCCTCCCGTACCGCTGATTAAAATCCTGCCTTACCACCCATTAAATTATACACCACTGAAGTCTCCTGTCCTGATTATATATATATATATATATATATATATATATATATATATATATATATATATATATATATATATATATATATATATATATATTTATTTATTTATTTATTTATTTATTTATTTATTTATTTATTTACTTTTGAATTATAGTGCAAAATAATAATAATAATAATAATAATAATAATAATAAATTAGTCGATTCAGAAAACACAGTTGACATCTTGAGCTAAAATGTATAAAAAATATCGCTCTTTTTAGGTCTCTCTCTCTCCACTACTCCTCCTCACCCTCACCACTCACCCTCACCAGTCACCCTCTTCACCACTCACCCTCACCACTCACCCTCACCAGTCACCCTCTTCACCACTCACCCTCACCACTCACCCTCACCAGTCACCCTCTCTTCACCACTCACCCTCACCCACTCACCCTCTTCACCACTCGTCCTCTTCACCACTCTTCACCACTCCCTCTTCACCAGTCACCCTCTTCACCACTCACCCTCTCTCACCACTCCACCTCACCAGTCACCCTTCACCACCTCACCCTCTCACCACTCACCCTCACCAGTCACCCCTCTTCACCCACCTCACCACACCCCTCACCACTCACCACCCACTCACCCTCACCACCACCCCTCACCAGTCACCCTCCTCACCACCTCACCAGTCACCCTCTTCACCACCACCTCTTCACCAGTCACCCTCACCACTCACCCTCTTCACCACTCACCCTCACCAGTCACCCTCCTCACCACTCACCCTCCTCACCACTCACCCTCACCACTCACCCTCCTGTGCCCTCTCTGTACCACTCCGACACTTTTCACCAGGTGTGATGGGCCCCGTGATGAGAGACTAAGGTATACCTGTAACCCATTGGCCTCAGCTTTCACATATTTCTGCCGGCTGTAACTTCGTTTAGGTCTGTATCGAAAGCTGGATGGGGTCACTCCTGCTCCTCCTCTTCTCTCCTATTCCTCTTCTTCTCCCTCTCCTCTTTCTCCTGTTGCCGTTCTTCCTCCTCCTCCTCCTCCTCCCTTGTACTATACGTCAGAAGTAATCGTGTGGAGAGAAAAAATAGTCACGTCACATATATCTTTCTTGTCCTCTTGAATCCCACACATATATAGATTCAACTCTCCTTCACCTGACTCACTATAGACGCCTGGCCTAACCACTCTTCCCCTTCGTCTCCTGTGACTCTCTTTACGTGTGTGTCAGCCATTTAAACGCACGACGACGCTGTCATAACTTAGTCACTTCTTCAGGTTACAATTTTCGACTTAGGGGATACAACTAAGACCTTTATCCTCTTGAGGTTTTATTTTACTGATTCTTAACAACTTTATATATGAACTGAGTATGTATATAACCTTACTGCTCTGTGAGGGGCCGGGTGCTCGAGGGGGACCTGGCTGGAGGTATAGCTCACCCTCCTCGCTATACTTCTATCCCTCTACGTGTTGAGGCGAGGGGCCAATAAAACGTGCGGTGAGAGGGAGAGGTAGTGAGGCTCTGGGAGAGGCAATATGTGCGGGCCAGGGCCACTGCTCCTCACATGTTGCCTACCTCATGTGTTTATCTTCTCCTTCTCGTCTCCCCCCTTCGCTTTATTACCCCTGCGAGGGCCCTCCAGCCATTTCGCGATCCGCACTCCCCCCGGGGCTCAACCCCTCGGTCTCGCCCAAGGGGATTATAGCCCTTGTTGCCAGGGGACACAGGAGTCAATTTGAACCCCGAGCCTCCGGCTGGGTTCAGGTATTGCAGCCCCTCAGGCATTGATTTATTGGCATTGCTGGCAAAATATGAAATCTACAGGAATCTGGCGAAGCGGGGAAGGAGACCCCCTAAATCCCGTTTAGTTGTGTGTGTGTTATACCGTCTTGGGTCTCCGCTGTGGGGAGGGAGGATATCATGGGGATGAGTGAAGGAGGAGATTAGGGGGTGAGGGAGATGAGAGCATGAGGAAGGGACAGGAGGTCAACCAAGAGTGAAGGAACCATGAGAGGAGGTGAGAGTGGGAGGACGAGAGAGGGGAAGTAGTGGGGGTGGGTGGTTGGAGGCCAGAGGATGAGGGAGATGGGGGAGCACATAAGAGGACAGGGAAAATAAGTTTAGGGGAAGGGGAGGATGGGGGTAATGAGGGGCGGGAGGGGGGGTGTTAGTTACTACATGGGAGACACAGGAGGTGGGCGCTTGTCCACCTCCTGTGTCATCGATGTACAGGTGGTGGCAGTGTCATGTGTAGGGTCTGTACAGGTCATATACAGGTTTAGTATAGGTCATGTATAGGGTCAATACAGGTCTTCTACAGGTTCATTACAGGTCATATATGAGGTAGGACAGTCAACGTGGAAGGAAGAGTCTCACGTATATCATCAGCATATGAAGATAATGTACTGGTTGTATTCACTATTTGCTCGACACCATGCCATCAACCCCGAGAACGGATGCACAACTTGCGACAAAAACAACCAAATATACGGACAATTCAGACATATTCCGGGAACCAATGAAAGAACATATACCGGTACGCCTACTCCTTCAGAAGAACGTCTCTATAAGGATTGTTGACCTCTTGTATACAACGCAGCAATAGAACTTGTTTATTTATAACATTCGAGTCCGGTTGTCGCATTCATTCCCATCTTCAGAGGAGCTTTTCCCAGACGTGTCCTATTCTCACACAGCCCTTATCACGACTCTCCCTCCAGCCCTATTAGTATTATCAACGCGTGAGCTTATATCACCTATGTGAGGCGGACTCCCAATTACCTATTCACGTCATTTACTGGGCACATTATGACCCGTCTCTTCACACCTGCATCTCCCGGAGGCCCTGTTACTAATGCTGACGTTAATGAGCTGTTGCTAAGGGGCAATTTTTCTCTCACACCTGTGTGCTGGGATTAAAAAGGGGGAAGTATTTAAATGGACTTATTCTCTGGTCTTAGGAGGTATTGGGCTGTTTAGCGTCATTATCAGTGAGGAGAATTATTATATGAAACTTTGTTACTCATAGGAGAATGAAGGTTTGTGTGTGTGTGTTTGGGTTATGCTTGTATGTGTGGATGTTTGTTATGAGTTTATGTGTAGGTATGTTATTGTTCGTGGCCAAATTTTACAGAAAAAAAATATATATATATATATATATATATCTTATATATATATATATATATATATATATATATATATATATATATATATATATATATATATATATATATATATATATATATAAGATTGATAAATAGATACACAAAAGAAACTCGGGAAAGTCGAGGATATATTGACTATTGTAGTCATCGCGGATAACAGTGAAGAGTGATGGCAAATACGTTTGATGTTAAATTATTTGTCCGACACAAAGTGAAATGAAAACAAAAGTAAAACCAAAAGAAATATCGAGTTTATGCAGAGTGAAGGAAGACTTGAATCTTATCATAGAGAAAAAGTTAAAATTTGAATAAGATTAAATACTCCAGAAGTATTTATTGAGAGGAAGGAAGTTATGAGACACGGGCAACATACAGAACCATAAGTAGATAAAAATAGAAGTGTTTTGTTCATACTGTACTCACTCTATCATTGGTGGAGAGAGCTGACAGTTGGTCGATAACTATCAAGGATAGGAGGAGTAGAACACCCAGCCAGCCAGCCGCGATGACACCAGGTACAGCAACAACACACTGGTGGGCACGACACCTGTACTCAGTAAGACACAGGTGTCACAGGAAGGATGGCTGAGACACCTGAAGAGGATGGATGAAGGGAGGACTACCAAGAGGAGGTATTCAGGACTGCCTGGACGGACAACACCACCAGGATGACCCAGGGAGAGATGGTGGGAGGACGGGGAAAGCCTGAGGAGGAACAACCTGCCGACTACACGGGAGCCACACGAGACGGGCAGGTTGTCCGATAATCAGAATGAAGAACTTTGTCATCACTTACAGCCTGAAGCGTACCTGGGAGCTGAGTTAATGAATATTGTGCGTGTGTGTATATATATATATATATATATATATATATATATATATATATATATATATATATATATATATATATATATATATATATATATATATATATATATATATATGCTTTTCAAAGTAAGTGAATTCCTTAAGCACATAAGCACGCGCACATATGTACTCGTGTGTATACTAGAGAGTACGACGTTGTACGTACATGAGTGTATATGCGTGCTGGTGTAAATGACTGTGTGCGTGCTACAGCCTGAAGGGTAGTGACGCCATTAGACAACCATCAAGAGCTACCGACGAGGTATTACCAGATACACTTTCACTGCTCATGTCAGCCACGCTGCTCCTGTACGAGTGTCTGCATGTCTGATGTCAGAGCATGCAAGTGTGTGAGTAAAACATGCACGGATGTGTCCTTCACACTCCTCAGTGTGTGTGATGAACAATGAGATGCAATCTTGTTTCTTGCTACAGCTTAATTGATAAACTTGTGTTGCATTGTAGTACCTTGTTTACCATTATTTTTTGCTGTCGTTCCGCTGCTCCTCGCTTGCTTGCATGAATTCCAGTCCTTCTCCTCCTCCTCCTCCTCCTCTGTACTATCCACTTAGGATTATGCGGCCTTCAGTCCTGTTTCTACATAGATAGAAAGATAAAGAGTTTAGTCTGGGCAGTAATGCCAAAACGTATGGTATCTAGCATGACGTACACCCTCTTCCACCTCCCGTGTTGATGCATGTCTTGATAATGTTTAAGTTTGTTTTATATTAAGATAATTAACCGGACACGTGTGACCATATGTGGCAGCTCTCCAGTACTGATAACTACACTGTGTATTTTGTGTGTTTCAGGGCGTGTTAGAGTCGGACACGAGCTTCACCGGTGATATCTTTAAACACGATGGCTTCGGTAAGTCACGGGTTATTGGTAATATATGAGGGAGTCCCTGGCTGTTGTCTCCTCCCTCACCCCACTCACCAGCCTCCACACCTCACCATACTCACGCTAAATGAGTCTTATATATATTGATGATACTCAGTAGGGAGTCATAATATTCTGACTCTTATATCTACTTTCATTTCCACAGTAATATGCTTTTAACTATCCATTACTGTGATGTACTTTTTATATTCACAGATTAATTGGATTTTTATATATATATTTCTGCATAAAAACTATGTATCGTTGGCTTAAAGTTATAGAGATTAGTTAGTATTTTTTTGTTTCAATATGTATTTCTGAAAGACTCGCCACATAATTGGTTAGGTGGTGGAGCAAGACGGTGGTGAGGGGGGGACAGGTGACCCTCTACTCCCTGCCTGTGTTCTCATAAACTAGTTTCCTCTGTTTATAAGCCTTGTCATCGGTGTGAGTTTACCACAAGGGGAAAGTCAAAACAGTGACCCACCGACCACAACCGTTTGGTATAATGACCTTGTTCCTAAAGGCTGTAAATGATTAGCACAGAGGAACATAGTTAAAATATTTCTGATTGTTTCTTTGTGGTAAACTTATGTCACTCAGTAACGAAATCATGGTATGTTCTTTCGTATTTAACTGACTTCTGATGGTAAATTCTGAATTACAGTCATTGATTCTCTCTGATTGTCCTTAGTACCCATCACTCTGTTCATCAGAAGTTAGTAAGGGAGGGTGTTAGGTCCCCTTCAGTGCACCAGGATCAGTGTTTGCTCGTTGAACTGTGCATCCCAGCAGCGCACCACACATTATGCATGTTAGTCTTGCTTTACACTAAGACCCGTGTATGTAAATGTTCCCGTCCCATTAGTGTTGTCTGGCGTCTTGGCATGTTTCTCTTCCTCTGCTCTCACACCTTCGTATGCCTTCTTTACCCATAAATGTTATAAATGTGTATGCCCTGTTGCCCTTAACACCATCCTCTACGCCCTCCTTTTTATTCCCCGTAAATGCCTCTTGGTGTCTAATTTATGCCCTTACCTTCAGTAACACCAGTACTTGTGTGATTCTCTCTCCCTGTACCTGTGCTGCCTTGTCCCCCACCACACACCCTGCATGACGCCTATCACACCCACCACCCCCCCTCACCACCCCCCCACCCCTACACCACCACCCCACACCACCACCCCACACCACCACCCCACCCCCACACCCCACACCTCCACCCCACCCACACCGTCCCATGTATGAAGTTCAACTAATTCCACTCACTCTTGTACATCGCTTGAGATATCCACCTACAGAATGGTCCAGCCTTGTCATGAGCGCCGTGTGTGTGTGTGTGTGTGTGTGTGTCCGTCAGGTTCAAAGAGAATATATGCCGTTGTGGTGTTTCTTGGTCGTCCTCACACCAGCACTGAGGAACACAGAACTGTCACCCTCGCTTCCACGTGCACTTGGCATTTTACCTGTGCCTTTGGTATCTATCCATACGTGACATCTGCTACCTCATGGCATTTTATCAGCATGACATTACCCACACGGGACATTTACCCATACATGACGTTTATCCATACGTGTATTTACCCACATATGACATGACACACACACACATACATCTGTCATGTCATATAACTGGCACTGCTTGTTGCTCTCTTTTAATTATGTTCCTCTGTTTTTCCTGTTAATGAATAATGATCTGACATTCACTGTATCTTATTGGATCACTGTACACACACACACACACACACACACACACACACACACACACACACACACACACACACCTCCACTATAAACTAGAGACAAATAGTGATGTGTGACTAACTGAACTGTTGTGAATTAATACTGTTATAGATTGGTGGTCAAGTCAGTCAATTGGATCATTGCTTGAAGAGTACTACTGCAACTTGTCCCCCCCATCGGTGTTGCCACTCGCAGGTCACCGTATATAATCAAAAACGTTAACCTAAGTTCATATTTCATCAGTAATGCAAAAAAAAAATAAAGTTCCAGTTATGAGAGAGCTTGATTAATAAAACAGTGCTCGTCGTTTACCTATTTATTATTTTTTAGTTGGTGAATAGGGAGCGGTAATGTGTGTGTGTGTGTGTGTGTGTGTGTGTGTGTGTGTGTGTGTGTGTGTGTGTGTGTGTGTAGCCCCACGTGGTCGTGTTGTCAGAGGAAAATCTCATAACCCGGCCCGTCCACCCGGCCTTTGATCCTCTCAGTCTTTATCAAAATATTAAACTAAAATATTGACCTCAGTTTTTATTTGAAAATGATACACTTTTGTTATTTTCCGCCTCTGTTGTATACGTATGTGTGTATGTGTCTGTTTACCTTACATAACTATACATATATCAGCACGAACACATACATTATTAATATGTGTACATTGATATATCCATACATTATGTACATCCATATATACAGTCACACACACACACACACACACACACACACACACACACACACACACACACACACACTTCCTTCTTCTTGTATGCGTCCACACACGTTACAAACAGCCGCTTATTATTTAGACTCGTGTTTTTGACACTTCCTTTATTATTGTTGCTTCGGTGGCCAGAGAGTCCTGTTATCTCCCTTGTTAATAGAGTCTGCGGGGGGCTCAGGTTACCAAACGCCACCACTTTGTCCGTCGCCCAGTCGATTGAGCATTAAAAAAAGGGAAAAAGAACTTCAAATTGCCCTCTCCATACCCCATCTGGTCCCTTGACGCACCACACTTGGTATCGCTCGTTCCTGAAGTCATCGATCAGTCTGTGGGCTATGTGTGTGTATTGGGGCGTTCAGGAGGGCGAAGATCTCTGGCAGCTGACGGACGCCATCGATAATTTTTGACTAACCCGGTGTGATCTTTGTTTAGAGGGGGAAAGTGAGGGTAGGGAGGTGGGGGATGAGGGTAGGGAAGGGAGGAGGATGAGGGTAGGGGAAGGGAGGAAGATAAGGGGTGGGGTAAGGGAAGGGAGATAGATAAGGGATAGGGTAGGGGAAGGGAGAAAGATAAGGTAATAGGGTAGGGGAAGGGAGGGAGGTAAGGTAATAGGGTAGGGGAAGGGAGGGAGGTAAGATAGGAAAGTAAGTGAAGAGAGGAGGATAGGGGAAAGGAAGTGGTATGAAGGTTAGGGGATGAGGGTAGGAGGTGAGATGAAAGCTGGCTAGGAAAGGAAGGGAGGGTGTGGAGGGTGGTGGTATAGTGGGGGTGGGATGGTGGTAGTAGAAGTGGTGGGAGAAGTAGGGAGGTAGTAGAGGGGGGGTGTAGACTGTAGAGGGTGGTGGTAGTAGGGGTGGCGGGTTATAGTTAGATTTACATATATTACCATGTTAAAAGGTTGCCAGGCACAAAACACGGAGCTAACCTCCCGAAAGACAAAAGGAATGGAGGACGGCCCAGTTGTCGCCCATTTTTATCTTGTCTCAGGGTTCCCCCACGCCCGGCCTTTAACGCGGCCCAGGAAATTGTTCATTTTCCCTCAGAGCCGCTTGGTCTGTCCACGACAGTGTCGGCCGCCTGCAGCTGCCCCGGCCCAGGTAGGGGAGACGAGGGAGATTGAGAGACCAGCTAGCTGAGATAGAAAGAAGACGAGGAGATGAAATAGCTTGGTAGGGTTGACGGTCAATGGGTCATACTGAGAGACGAGAGATATTCCGGAACAACGGGTCTAGTGAGATACCGGAGTACTGGCTACAGTATTAGATACACTGACGAGCCTTAGTTGAGAGCTACTGTAGGTTAGGAGACGAGAGATCTACGCTATTTGGTATGACAAAAGAGAGAGGTACTAAGGGGGGGGGGGAGGTAAGTGGCGAGACACAAGGCAGGAGATATAACGTGAATGGGTGGATGAAGGCGGGAGGAAGCAAGAAGGAGACTCATCTGCCACTCTTCCCGTCCTTATTCTTCACGCTGGTACACCTTGCTGTTTAAGACCTCTATTGGGTCTTGTGCTGCCCCGTTTGGATTGCAGTTGACATCTTTTCAATCCCATGGGCTCTTATTGGCGTCTTGTGGTCTCCTCGTGGCTTGGTGTGAGCTCTGGTTAGCCTGTTATGACGTGTTTTGTACTCTGAGTGGCATTCTTCGGCCTTGATACGATTGTTGATCGTTTGAAGAAGCGGCGACGTCTATCTGCGTGTATCGGGAACTAGATGTTATTGATATTCATTCATCGGGTGGGTGACTATAGCGAGGATTCCCCTGTAGCAGTGTTGCCAGCAGGGTGTTGATCCTTACCTCTCGTGTGTACTGCATCTCGTTTTCTGTGACTAACAACATCAGTGCCGCTGCCCCCTCACCCAACTCCGGGAGAGCTAGAACCTCGACCCCCCACCCCCGACCCCCCACCCCCTCACCTCACTCTCCAAGATAACAGCGGCTCGCCCCACCTTCCACCCTTCCCCTCCCATAGTATAGACCAGAGGCACTACCCCTTCCATCTCACATCTTCAAGCACACCGAGGGATACACTGTTGACTTACTCCCAACACGGATTTACACTCCCTGGTAATCTTCTGTTTACTCCAGGTCGTGTTTACTGTTGTTTACATGTACTGTGCTGAAGAGACCAGGAAGCAGTGCCAGCCATAGTTCACACACACACACACACACACACACACACACACACACACACACACACACACACATTACGCAACACCCACACAGGTTTTCCCACGCCATCTACGTTACCCACACGGCACTTGCATCATCCATCCCGTGTCTAGCCATCCACACCACATCACCCACACACGTTCTTTGTTCTCACATGAGTGTGTCTCTCATATTGACTCATAATCCACACTGCCACGCACCTCACACTGCCACGTACCTCACACTGCCACGTACCTCACACTGCCACGTACCTCACACTGCCACGTACCTCACACTGCCACGCACCTCACACTGCCACATACCTCACACTGCCACGCACCTCACACTGTCACGTACCTCACACTGCCACATACCTCACACTGCCACGCACCTCACACTGCCACGTACCTCACACTGCCACGTACCTCACACTGCCACGTACCTTACACTGTCACGTACACCACAACATTAGGACTCCCACATCCCCTCAGCAAGCCCCTCCCTTCACCTATCCTCACTCTCAATCCCTTACTACCATATATTCCCCTATCCTTTACCTCGTCCTTCCCCATCCCTACATCCTCCTTTCTCTCCTCTTACCCTCCCCAGTACCTCCCTCTGGACCCCGCATTACTGGAGTGGCTGACATTTTTGGGATTTTAATTAAAGTGCTTAGTTTTGGAAACAAATTATCTGCATGAACGGGTGCGGCTCGGCGGACGGACCACTGGGAGGAATGCCGGTCTACGCTCCCTCACATTTTTTGCCGCGGATTCTTTGGTCGAGTTTTGATTAAACGGTTTCTTAGGGTAATTAAGACGTTAACTTTTCAACCTGGATGTAATTGGGGTCAAGTTTTACAGGGTGCGTGAGGGAGGGAGTAGGCGGCGTGTGTGTGTGTGTGTGTGTGTGTGTGTGTGAACGTTCTCTAGTGGTCATGTTAGTAGTCTTGTTATTGATGGTGCTATAACTACAGTCGTTGAACGTTGCTACCACCATAGCCACTAGCACTCTGTTAACTACCACCACAACCACTGCCACAATACACATCCATCACCACAACCACTGGACCCTTGTCACTATACATAATTGCTACCACATCCACTGGCACTATACTGTACGTTACTTTCGTCACTCATTTGAGCGTCGACTCTGCTGGTACAAAATAATACATTACCCTCTCTTTTATCGGCACCACACCTGCCACAGCTCCCAGCACTGTACATCCACCATAACCATTATCACTACTGCTGCTGTTGTTCCCCACTGGCACTACACCCATCATCACACTCCCCCACACTGAACCTGACGCCCCCATTGCCCCTTGCGTGTCCCTTGCCCTTCACATCTTACTGTCTATACCACCCCCATGTCAAGAGCCCCCTACCCCAGCCCGCGCCCTCCCCGCTGCCTGACGGCCTGTGTTGCAGGCAAGATGGGCGACCACATGATGAAGGAGAACCTGCTGGGCCCGGCGATGCCCTCCGACGTGTTCTGCTCGGTGCCAGGACGCCTCTCCCTCCTCTCCTCCAACTCCAAGTACAAAGTGACGGTGGCGGAGGTGCAGCGACGACTCTCCCCTCCAGAGTGTCTCAACGCCTCCATCCTGGGCGGCATCCTCCGTAGGTAAGACGCCCATACTCCCTCCTGCACCAACACCCACAGCGCCAGGCAGGCAGGAGAGGCGGCGTCCATTGCCGGGAGCATACCGTCACCACCCAAAACAAGCCCACGCCGCGTTCCCCCACGCATATACACTCATGTCCCCACGCCCATGATCTCCCATTTGATGTCCATGCCCCCCCTTCCAGCGTCCCCCTCCTCAAGATACAGGAACGAACCTCTCTCACCGTCAGCTTCTGAGCCCTGGATGCATCTCTGCACCTCCTTTGAACGAGAGAAATTTCGAGCAACTTCAACCAGCAAGGAGTCTGCATTAACGCCAGGAGCAACTTTCATGCCTTCAGCAACCTGGCTCACGGAGGCACTATAAGTCTCTCTCAGAAACAGAGACGCTACAAAATGGACAAGAAAAAAAATGAGTCAGTCTCATAGACCTCCTTTAATTACTCCCCCCAAATAACACCGGTAATTAACTGTACTCTCGTGAATGTTACCAAGTAATACCCAACTGGTACAAAGTGTCTCACGGTGAAGGGTAAAGCATGAGCACCACACTGTCTCTCACCAGGTCTCTGGCCAGTCTCCTGACCTCCTCCTCCTGCTCTTCCATCACTGGTCCTCAATGGGTAGATTCCTCCTCTCTGTCTCCGTGTCCTCTCGCCTTCCCACTTCCCTGCATGGATGAGGCTGACAGGTAGCATGACAGTAGTTGTGTCGGTGGCCTAGCTGGATGGACGGCAGACGAGTAGAGGTCGTGGCTCTGAGGGTCCAAGACTCCCCCAGGGGCTCACACACAGCCCGCCTCTTAAACTCATTTTCACACTTTGTTGACAAGTAATTGTTAAAATCCCTGTTTGGTCGCTGATTGGTAGGTTAGGTGCCAATTAACGCTCGGTGCTAAAGTAACGTAAGTATATGCATTAAAAGTAAGAAGTAGGTCCATAAAACAGTAATTTACGTTTAAGTGAAAGAGAGACATATCCACCACCAGTGTCCTGATGCGGGCAGACCTGAGCGATGATTCTCAAAACTCATCCGTTTAATTTTGACCCAAAGTGAATATGAGAACACTTCTAACTAACCTAAACTACAACACAAACGTTAATGACCAAATTGGCATCAGAATTACAAAAAGACTACCGCTTTAGGGGGAAAGTTACTAATGAGTCTTAGAGAATCTCGACTCAGTTCTCGAAGATCAGCGCCTAAATTCTCAAAGGTTCTCACGATGAATCTTCCTCGTAACTGAAGACATAAGAACTGTTTGACTTCAGGCAAAACACAAAAACAACGTCCAAAAATAACATCAAAATTACAGCGAGAGAAACTTTACTTTAGATATGTTCACTTAGGTACAACATGGTGAAAGGTAAACTCTTATATATCCAGTTACAAAAAATATTCATCGGGTGAACTCTTGAGACAGTGGACCCAGTGTTGTTTCCTCAGTGGTGTGAGGGACAGTGAGGGCGGTAATGGTCTGACTACAGTGTATATGTCCCAGGGTACTGAGATATATACTGAGGGTAGCCTTACTGACGACCGAGTCCTCTCAGTGTACCTCATGGGGGAAGCTGACTGATGTGGCCCTCTGGGAGCTCGTAGGACGCTAGCCTTCCTCACCCCTTCCCAACCTTCTTCATTCTACCCCATCCTTCTTGATCCTTCCCTGGCCTACTCTATACCTCCCCTTTATTCTCCACCACTCCCTAACCTTCTTCACCCCCGCCTACAGGTGATAGGGACACAAGCATCAGCGAGATGTGTATGACTCCAGTAGCGTCAGCCCCGGCGTCCACCTCCCAGGCAGCTAACACTGACCAGGCTTTGAATCCCGTTACCTTTAAGCCATTTAAAAAAAAAAGACTAAAAATTATTGTCACTTGCTGTCTTAAAATAGATATGACCTGACTTTTTTTACTTTTGGTTTATAAGCCAAATTTTGTCTTGGATAGAGTCAACTTTACAAGAAGAATAAGTTCCTAAGATATTGTTCGCTCAAAAAGTACGCCAGGCGTCAGCGATAGTTGATTAGATTAACGCCAGCGCAGGCAATCCTATGGTGCTTGTACACACTGATGAGGTGAAGTGTTCGAATTCGCGTGTGTCCCCTCACTTCCTCACACACCTTCAGGAAGTTCAAGGGTCCTGGTGTTCAGGGTAGAGGTGTTATATGTTCAAGTCAGAGGTGATGTTGCTGGTGAACACTACTTGAACACCTGAGGGATGTGAACACCTTTTTTTCCTCCCTCCTCGATGCCTCGTCTCTCACTCTGCACATATTATAATCTCACAACACCACCTCTCTTGTATAATGTTTTCTCACATAAACCTCCCTCACATGACCCTCCCTCACATGACCCTCCCTCACATAACCCTCCCTCACATGACCCTCCCTCACATAACCCTCCCTCACATAACCCTCCCTCACATGACCTCCCTCACATGACCCTCCCTCACATAACCTCCCTCACATGACCCCTCCCTCAACCCTCCCCTCACATAACATAACCTCCCTCACATGACCTCCCTCACATGACCTCCCTCACATGACCCTCCCCTCACATACACCCTCCCTCACATGACCCTCCTCATAACCTCCCACATAACCCTCCCTCAAATAACCCTCCTCACATAACTTCTCCCTCCCTCACATGAACATAACTCCCACATAACACATAACCCTCCCTCACATAACCCCTCCCTCACATAACCCCCTCACATAACCCTCTCACATACACATAACCCTCCTCACATGACCTCCCTCACATAACCTCCCACACATAACCTCCCACACATAACCCTCCCTCACATAACCTCCCTCACATAACCCTCCCTCACATAACCCTCCCACATAACCCTCCTCACATAACCTCCCCCACATGACCTCCTCACATAACCCTCTCACATAACCCTCCCCCTCCCTCACATAACCCTCCCTCACATAACCCTCCCTCACATAACCTGCTATAATTTTCCCTGTGGTCCTTCCCTTCCTCTTTCTTTTCCTCTTTACCCAAACCCACGCCACGCCGAACCCCTTCCCTACCTAACGTATCGTCTCCCTCCCTCCCTCACGTGCCCTCTTCCCCTTCCTTCCCCTTGCCCTTGCTGCCCTCCCCGCCTCGATGAGTGTCCGGAGAGGGCGTGGGGTTGGCGTGGCGCGGCCCTGAGAGAGAGTGTGGTGTGTTGCAGGCCTCAAGAGCGAGAAGAGCATGGGTGTGTCCGGGATGCTCTCGGGTAATGACGTGTTCTGCTCGGTGCCGGGCCGCCTCTCCCTCCTCTCCTCCACCTCCAAGTACAAGGTGACGGTGGCGGAGGTGCAGCGCCGCCTCTCCCCGCCTGAGTGCCTCAACGCCTCCCTCCTAGGGGGTGTCCTTCGCAGGTAAGTCCCTCACAACACATCCTTACCTCAGTCTCTCACCTTAAGACATAATGATGCCCTCCGTCGCAACTGGTGACCTTCGACAAGATCCAGCTCTGTAGTTCCTCTCTTCCTGCCGCTGCAGCGTCTGCGTCACCGGTAAGTACAAGCTGTGTGGTTGCGGGTGGATGGTGTGTGGGTGTTTGATGACGGGTGTAATTATTCGGATATTTGTCTTAGTTTTTTTTTTTAGTGCGACGTTAAATATGGTTATCTCTGTGGTCTGAAGACCTTCAAAATTCAAAACAAATGTATCAATCGTTGCTGAATCTCGCAGTTTGGAACTATCGAGTCTCCATCTTGATGATCAGTTGACACGAATCGCTCAAGATGACGACCGTCGGCACCCAGCGGCAGTCACTGTCTAGTTAAAAGAATATATAATAATCAACACCAACATAACTCTTACTCACACGTCCGAGACTTAAACAAGGACGCGCGCGGCGCACAGTCACACGGAGAGGTAAAGAAACCCTCGTCAGGGAAGCCCCTCGTGATATTGTTCAGTAATTATAGGATATTAACTTGACCCTGAGAATAACAGACTCGGTGATCAATTGACTGGAAAATCAACCAGAGTTTTTGATAACTAACGTGTCCTCCTGAGAAGGTGGAGAAGAACCGCCAGCCTCTCACATTTATCACCCTCCCTCCCGCGACGCTGTGAAGCCCTCGCCACAGACCCTGGGACAGGTGCTAATCCAGGAGGGACAGTAAACACAGTCCACCTGTCGCTTCCGTTGTTCTGGGACCCACGCCTGCAGCTCCCGCCCGCCATTTTCTTTTTTTTTCTGGAGGGAGACCGCGGGGACAATGATAATGTTTCATCCCACCAAGATCTCACCTCTCGTGACGACTCGCAGGTTACTCGTCCCCACCGGAAATTCGTCCTCTCCTCTGCCTCAAATTGTGCGAAACGCCGATTAGCCCCGCGACCTGTGACGGCCCTGCAGTGTTGCCAGCTAACTGTGACAGACGCTCTGCTCCTCACACCCGCTTATCCTGGTGACTCAGCGTCTCCGGAAACAGTTGTTCTCACCCGAAAAATAAAACCTGACGCTCAGGAAATGATTCAGAATTAATTTTATAGCTGTAATTCGTGAACTAAATCGCTTCTTACTTAGGAAGAGTGACTATAAACAAACGGCGTCGGCCACACTGTGTAGTAATCCCTGGGCCGCGTGATAATGGTGGACCAGGCCGGGATCACAACGTGGCCACCACAGCACCAACCTAAGGACAGATTTGGGCGGTAATGACACCTGATATAAGGGCGATAGGGGCATTAAATTAAAGTCAGGGATAAGGACTTAGATGGTGTGGGTCGTGGGCAGTGAGCAGCGGGGCAAGAAGTTGTAAACAAGACCGTAAAGAAGTGAGAGTTGGGGACCTAAGACGTAGGCCTATGACGCCTATTTCCCTACAGCGGCGCCTTGATTGACGCCGTGAATGATTCCTCTTACCTGTGGCTAATAGGAGGAAGCATCTGGTTGTGTGTCTGCCTGTAGTAATCTTCACACGCTCTGCTTGCATTGCTGTGTGTGTGTGTGTGTGTGTGTGTGCGCGCGCGCCAATTGGC